GGGAAGAAAGGAAGGGAGAAACTAGACACACACAAAAAAAGAAGTGGGAAGGAGGGTGGGGACGGAGAGACACAGCAAGCCTGGAGTGGGGACTGGAGGGCTTGGAAGAGAAGGAAGGCAGGAGGGACAGAGGGAGGAAAAAGAAAAATTGAGGAAAATTAACGGGACGAGTAGTGGACACTTTACAAAACCCCCAGCCTTCCTTCCCGCCCAACCCCACCAAAATAAAACTACCCCCCTTAAAAAAATAAATCAGCCCGGGGCCGTGAGCACGTGCCCTGCCCGGGAGCGCAGAGCGGAGGGGGCCCGCCAGCCCCGGGGCTGATGGTACCGCGGCCCTGGCAGCAGGAGGAAGCGGACGATCGCGGGGTTTTCCTTTTTTTTTTTTTCTTTTTCTTTGTTTTTTTTTGCGTTTCCTCTTCGTGAGAGAAGTCTGAGGCAGCCAAGGGAGTGGGTCCCCAGGGCCCTGGCAGGGAGAGGGCCGCACCCTCCTCTCGGGCCCTCCCGGGAGGGGCAGCTGGCAGTGGGGCGCGGTGCCAGGGCCTCAGACGTAATACTCCTTGTCTTTGTTCTTCTTGGCCTTGCTGGGCGTCTTGGGGGCCGCCGGGGCCTTCTCTTTCACCACCGCCCCATTGCTCTGGGCCGAGTTACTGATGTAGTTCCGGCTCTGGTCCACCTGGTAGGAGCCCTCATCGCGGTTGCGGTACTTGTACATGGCGTAGAGGAGGATGAGGATGCAGAGCGCCGCGGCCGCCACGATGCCCACCACCATGCCCGTGGTGCTGCTGGACTCCCGGATCACCTCCACTGCGCCCGGCGGGCCCCGCTCCCCAGGCCCCGTGGGGTTGGCTGTGGGCAGATGGGGGAAGCCGGGGGCGGAGGTCACGCCGGGGCGCAACGGAGGGGGCCTCCGCGGCTCGAAGGACGTGGGGGCCCCGGGCCCCAGGGGTGGGTTCTCCAGCAGGGGCTGCAGCGGGTCTCGGTGGTTCATTTTGCCCGCTGGCAGGTTTGGGGCTGGGGCAGAGGGGACTAGCAGCACCCCAGGGGCGCCCGTGGCCCCATCTGTCCTGAGGTTAGGCCGGGGAGCGGGTTTGCGGGGAGAGAGGAGGGTGGTGCGGTCCGTGACCAGGGGAAAGGTGGTATAAAAGTCCTCGTCGTCCGTGGGGGGGAGGCTGGAGTCAAAGACCTCCCCGGATGCAAAGCCCGAGGCCTCGATGGGCTCTTCGCAGTCGCTGTCGTCCTGCTCAGCCTGGCACGGGCCCCCAGCGGGTGGGCGGCGCGCCGCGGGCGGGGGCAGGGTGTCTTGGGTGGCCCCCACGCCCGTGAGGAAGGGGTAGAAGGTGGGGGGTGGGGGCACGAAGGGGGATCGGGTGGCCACGGGAGGGGGGTCTAAGGAGTCCTCCGTGATAATGGGCAATATTAACTCTCCTCCTAGAACAAGAGAGAGAAGAGAAAAGAGAAGGCGTCAGCGAGGGCCAGGGCGCAGGCGGCCGCCACAGAGAGAGAAACAACAGCCTCACACACCCAAATCGGTTCCAATTGGCTTTGGCGGAGACTAGAGCGGGCTTCGCCCGCCCGCCAGCCGGCCGGAGCACTGCGCTTTAAGCGGGCAGCGGCTGGATGCCCTGGGCACCCCACGCACGGGCTCTGTGGCTCTCTGGGTTTTGGTCTTTTGTTTGTCTTAAGAAACCAAAAGGAACAGAAAGGAAAGGAAATCGAAAAGAAACGGAAAGAAAAACTCTACTGGTTTAAGGCTTTAAAAACAGATACAAGAGCAGCATTTAAACAAACCTAACGACAATATCTTTTAGGGTTTTTTTTCTAGATATTTCTCTTTTTTTGCTTTTGTTTTTTTTTTTTTCTTTTGTTTTTAAAAAAGAAGATAGCATACCACGGAATTCAGGCAACTTACATCAACAAATAGGCCGTGTGATTTTAGCATGAAGAAAAAAATTACAAACAGAGCTGTGTAAGCGGGTTCTCCCGGAAAAAAAATAAGAAAAAACAACTTTTCCGCACAACGTTTCCTATCTGTTTGGTATCTCCCTCCCTCGCTCTTCTCTCCCTGGACATCTTGCTTCCTCCTAAATATTCTCTCTCCTCCCTCACCCCTCGTTAAACTAACAAAGCTGAGATCCGCACAGTGCAGGCTGGCAGTGAGGAGCTGTTAGCAGTTGGTGTCAGCATGTAGGGCGGAGGGTGGTCGGTGGGAAGGAGGGCTTGGGGAAGAGGTACGCGACCTGGCAGCTATGTAGCAATTGCCACAGGGGTAGAGGACTTGGGAGGAGATGGTATGGAAAGGAGCTTTGCAAGTCGGCCATGTGGGGAGGAGAAATTGAAAGTGGGAGGTGACGAGGTCCATGAGGAAGGGTGGGCAAGGAGGAGACAGACACACTGGAGGAGGCTCTCGTCCTCCGGGACTTTGGGAAGGGTAGTGAGAAGCCATGTAGAGGCAGGGAGGTGAGGAGGGGCAGGGAGTGAGTGAGGGAAGGGGCAGGGGCGCATTCCTGAGCTATCCCTAACTCCCCAACTTTCTCTTTTTTCACCCTCCACCTCTGACCCCCACTGACTTCCCCCCTCCCCCTCCCCAGAACCCCCATGGGCCGCCAAGACCTGGCCAGGGCTTGAGTGCCTCTGGCTCTCTTATTATTGTTAAAACAATAATAAAACAACGGAAAGAAGAAGAAATCAAAAAAAGAAAAAAATACATACACAGCCATCTGGGAAGGAGGCACTTGCTAATTTAGGGCCCAGGGGAACTAGTGAGGAAGGCTTTGGGGGTGGTGGGGGGAGTTAGGTCTCTTCTCTCCCTAGGTCTAATAACTGGGGTCCCCTGAACAGAAACTGCAAGTCCCATCAACCCCAAAGAGTGAGAACTACAACTCCCAGTTAGCCCTCGGAGGGGTGTGGACTACAATTCCCATCAGCCCCTGAGTCAATAGCTACAACTCTCATCAGCCCACTGGGCCTCCTCTCAAACCAAAGTACCACAACCCACCCGTCGAGGGTGGAAGGAAGCTGGAGTCTAGTTCTAGGAGGCTGGTGTGAGCTAGAGGCTTTCTCTCTAGCTCTCTCTCCAGCACAGCCCAAGCCCTGCCCCCATCTGAATGCTTCTCCCTGGTCTCTGCAGGGCGCGGTCTTCACAGATCACACCACAAGCCCTCCAAGCCCTCCACAGGAAGCATCCCAGGGCTCCACTGCCAGGTCCCGCCTGACGCACTGCAGCCAGGCCAGCTGCTGTGCTGCTGTTTAAACACCTCCGCTGACCCTCCAGATCACAAGCTCCGGCAATCTGGCAGAGTCGTCCTTGGCCTCATGAGCCGACCCCAGCCAAAATCTTGTTATTGAACTTGCAGCTTTGCTGGATTCTTCAGGCTGTTCTTCCCAACAAGCTCCAATCTCCCAATGGGCGGGGACTCACCTGAACCCCAGACTGTGAAGTCCAGGGCTCCCGGCCCTCCGGGGGCTCAGCCACACTGAAAAACTTGGCCAAGAGCAGAGAAGCATGTTTTGTGGAGCTGGGACCACCCAACCCAGCTTTTTATGGAAGAGGATGCTGAAGCCTGGGGCGGGCAGAACTTCCCAAGGTCACCAGGTATCAGGCTAGGTGAACAAACAGACTGGCCAGTCCTTCTGTGGCTCTTGGTGGTTGGGGAAGGCCTGACTCATCTTCCCCATGTCTATAGTAACCTGCCAGGCAGCTTCTCTTACCTTAACCTGGGAGGCCATGGACATGTTGTCATTAATTCCTGTGTGACTGTGGGCAAGTTTCACTCTCTGGGTCTCAATTTCCTCATCTATAAAATTAAGGTATTGGGCTCCAGGCCCAGGGTGAGGCCAAGGCCTGGCTCTCATGGACCGATGAACATGATTTGTCCTCCCATTCCCATGTGAGCTTACACCCGCCAAGGATGGCCCAGCACCCTGGTTCCTGGATAAGGGACAAATGCAGCTCTCAGCGATGGGGAGGAGGCTAGCAGCCATTTGCATGGTGGCATCCTGGTCCCAATTAAGGTAGGACTCCCCTCCCTGCATGGGCCCTAAACACATCTGGGGTCCTCACTCCTAGCCCGCACCATCTGCCTCCTCCTGACCTTTGTCTTCTGCTCAGAACACCTTCCCCCTGGTCTCTGCAGGGCGCGGTCTTCACAGATCTGGTATCTCACTCATCCTTTGAATCTAGCTAAACATCTCCTCTTCCAGGAAGACTAAGTTTGGAATCACTGCCAAGAAAGGCCTAAGGCCCATCTGTCTGTCTCCCAAGCACCCAGCATTGGGCCTGGCACAGAGTGGGGGTTCATTGTGTTTTAACCGGGGAAGGGAAGACATACTCATCAAGCATTTCCTCTGAGGAGGGGAGGTGAAAGCCCCTCTTACAGGCTAGAGCAGCTGGGTTCTGAACATCCTTCCTCCCTCCCACCCCCCACCCATACCCCGTCGGGCAGCAGGCCCTGCTGAGAATTCAGCCTGGCAGGAGCCTTGCTTGCTCCACGGGCCCAGCTCTCACTCACATCTTGGCCTGGGCCACCAGTTACTCCTAGAAACTTCAGAATCAAGGCTTATCTTAGGCAGGGCTTGTGGTCCTCAACCAGCTGGCCCCAGCAGAATGCCAGGCCCAGGGCATAGGACCAGGAGGCCCTTGCTGGAGATGTATCATGCCCAGGAGAGGCTGATCAGGCTGCTGAGGACACAGACCTTGGCTCCCTATCCTCTTTCTCAGTCCCGGCTAGAACAGAGTGTGGAGGAGCTTCAGGCCTTGGACCGCAGACCAGTCCTGCCTGGCCTGAGACTCTCGCAACCATTTTGCCCCAACTTGCTGGTATTTTAGGTCCTTGGGACACACAGGTTCCCAGGTTCCACCTGTGCAGTCTCTCCGTCTCCAGAACGCCCCCAGCCCTTTAACCCCAGTTTCTTCTTGGTTTCTATATACTGGGTTTCAGCCTGGCCTATGCTTTTCTGGGGGCTTTCTCTGGGCCTTTATCTGCCCTCTTTGATAGCACCTCCTGAGGGTGTCCAGCCCTCACCCACGGCCCCTACACTGCCACGACTGCCCCTTGGTGCCCCCTGCTCGTGGCCCTGCACATCCAACTCCCACACCACTTCCTCCCCACACCCCTCACCAAGATATCTCCACATGATAACGTGCTTTGGAGACCCCACGCTGAATTCCTTCCCTGATGCTCACTCGAGCTGGCTTGGCCTCTGTGGCAGACAAGTCACATACAACATGGGTACTGGGTTTCCCTGGGGTCATACACCGGTCCAGGAATGATCAGGCATGCTGGCCCTGGTGAGAATCTAGCAGGGCCTGGAAGAGGGGTGGACCCCTTAGAGACTCCTGTGAAAGTCCAACTAGGGTCACCCTTCTCGCTCAGCATTTGGGGGTACAGACTCATGAAGATGCTGGTGCCTGGGACTCTGGGTCCAGCTCCACGTCAAGGGCGTACATCGGGATGGGGTACACCTGGGAGTCTGATAAAGACCCTAAGTGGCCTCCCTCTCCTCCCCCATTTCAGGCAGCAGCATTTGGGAAATACGGGTGCACTTATCACAGATGCCACCCACCCTCTGTTCAGAAACTGAATTTCAGTGTATGTTTGTCTCGCTTACTAGAGAGAATTCTATTCTGGCCAAGGACACCATCGGCCATTCCTGAGCATCCTTTCTCCTCCAGTTCCCTGCCTCTGGCAGCGACTGGCCCACTAAGCTGAGCCCTTTCTGCCTTGAGGGAACAAAAGACTGATTATAAATCTACCCAAGAACCCCATTCTCTCCCAAACAAAATGTGCCCACCCACAAAGGGGCGTCTAGAACTGAGGCTGCAGCAAGAAGGTCACTAGCCCACAGGGCATTTCAAGTAGATTGGAAGAAAGGCAGCTTCTTGATGTGGCCACAGCTCTGCAGGCACACAACTTGACAAACAGCACCTCTGTGCACAACGGGAGAAAGTTATCCTGTTCTCCTGGTGGACACAGTCCCACTCCAGGGCCCAGGACACGTGGCTCGGCAAGCAGGGCACTGGCTAGATTTCAGCCCTTACTCACCTGTTCCAGCAGAGCTTGTGCAACTGTGTACAGTGATCTGAGGGACGGTGCCCCTCGCCCCCACCTCCCCCCAGTGCAGCAAGGGTGGAGTCAAGGCCAGAGATGGAGGCACTCGTGTGTGCGTGTGCGGGAACACACCCTCTGAGGGTCTGTTTCTGTGCACAGCCATGTCTCTAAGCATGTCTCTACGAGCTCATCTGAACAGACATCTGTACATGCGAGGGAACCTCTGGGCCTGGGCCTGAGCTGGCGTGCAGGTACGCATGCATGGATGTGCCACTGAGAACATGTAAACATGCTACTGTGGGTGAACACACCCTCTGAGGGTCTGTTTCTGTGCACAGGCATGTCTCTACCCATGTGTGTGCCAGCTCATCTGAACAGACATCTGTACATGCGAGGGAACCTCTGGGCCTGGGCCTGAGCTGGCGTGCAGGTACGCATGCATGGATGTGCCACTGAGAACATGTAAACATGCCACTGAGCACACACGGTGTGCTTCCGGGAACGCCTCCTTCTCTCAATTCATTTTCTCCTTCTCTTGGGCAATGAGACTACATTTCCCAGAATCCCTTGCAATCAGGTGTGGCCATATGTCTGAGCAGTGAGCAGTACTGGCCCACAAAAGCCTCCCATCCTCCAGGTTCTTTTTTCTCCTTCCAGTGACTTTGCAAACCACATGCTGAAAATGGAAGAGCCACAAAATGGAAGGAGCCTAGATTCTCAAGGCACCCCTTGGGGCGGAGCCACCTGCTGGTCAGGAGCACCCAGGTAGGAAATCACCTGAGTGAGAAACTCCCACTGAGATTTCGGGGTCATCTGTTACAGAAGCGAATGTTCCTTACACAGATACCGCACAGGAAATGGGTGTCGCGAAAGCCTGTGGCATTCGTGTGACAGTCCAAGGAAACGGATTTGGCGGCTGGACAGATGAGGAACCATATAATGCAGCAGCAGGACACTGGGTCCCACCCAGAAAGCGGGCCATGCTGAGGCCGAGGCACTAAAGGAAAGTGCCAGGAAAGTCAGGGTGACAGTGCTGACTTTTACTTCCTGGTTTTAGTGACATATTACAAGAAAGAGACAAAATCAGGCAAGAATTAGTAGGTCTGCAAACAGA